CAATATGATATAATATATTAATACGAAATACCAATAAATAGTCCAGGTCTTGAACCTGGAAGGCAATTTTCTTACCAAAGCTCCATGGRTGCTAATAGCAACACTAGATTCAGGATAGTTCCTCACTTGTCCAAAATAGTGAGTTATGGGTTCTAGTGGTGTTCTCTTGACTTTACCATCAACGTACGACTCCATCATCAGTCCAGGTACYGTCAAATCCTTATTCTCTCTCAGGTTCAAGTGAAGTGTTTTACCAAAGGCTTTCAGTCTGTAGTGKTGTTCATCAGACCTCTTTGCTTCCCGTCTTTTAAGAGCGCTAAGGRTCAAGTCATGGGAAATAAAGTCCCCTTCAGGGGTGGACTGGTATGGGTGAGTGACGTCATACTCAGGCACTTTAAAATAAGATTACGAAAGCTTGGTAAAAGTTTCTTTTGTGATAGATATCTGTGCGGGTTGAGGYCAGRATATTCATTTTATATTSATTGTATATTCAATTGACAGCACKCAYAAAGAATACTTGGCCCACGTTTGCTTACCGTGATCGGGATGGTCCACATTGAAAGTCGCCTGCAACTGATTCTTGGTCATTAAGCGATGCAAGGTCTGGTAAAGTGGATTTTTAAATCAGGGAAGATTTGTTTACAAATTGAAAAGAGAAAAACAAGGTGATAATGAGAGGTATTTAAAACAATCTAATACACACATCCAAAAATAGTGTTTTGTTTACACTGATTTGTATCCTCGCGCACGCATTGTAAATTAATTTTGCCCTGATGATGGACAAGTTGTCCGAAAGCTCGAAAATTAATAAACTTTCATAAAAGATGCAAATATCAGTATTGAAACAAGGAATCCCACGTACGACAACATTTTAACCAAAAAAAATAAATAAATAAAAAGTAACAATACAAAAAAAAAGGACAACGACCTGGATTCGAACCCTTGATCATGCAATTATGCGCACGAATTGATATACTAATCTATTCAAAGGTAAAAATAGGCAATGGGAACTATTAATGCTGCTGCAGATGTCCTGTCAAAGATTCGTGATAGCCTCTTTTGAAATATATGCATATTCTTGCATGAATCGGTATTTTCTAAGGGCACAAAAAGAAATAGGGTYCGTGCTTTGTTAGTTATCAGACTTATGCAATAGATATTTATCATCAAGCTTGTATCATATACTAAATCAATAATCATTATGCATGAAAATTACCTTTAAGTGGTTGGAGTCTGGATCTGATTCGCCCCTCACTGTCAATCCTAAAATAGTCATTGTTTTTACTTTTATAGTTTCTACAGTAAACAGACTTTTTCTTTACTTAATTTTTCTTTGCGAAAAAACCCAGCTGAGAGACATTGTACATAATACAGATTATTCACGGCGACTGCTTTTTTTTAAGAGGTGCTGCTTTTGTGACATTTGTTGTCTGCAATACACGCATTAATCGTTAAATAATATTTGCATATATGCACCCATTTTAGAAATAAGATCCTCCCATGCAGCTAGTCAGAACCTATAAACAAACTCCTTATTCTTTAGAATTTTGGTACAGTTTTTATTATAAGTAGTCCCCCTATCACCCCGACTATGATGCAAATCGTAGGCCGCTTACAATATAGCTGCCGTTGTTTTTCTTTTTACACCAAGTAGGGAGGTCAAAAAAATCGATGCTTTCAGAGAGAGCAAATAATATGCACAAGTGCGTTTAGTATTTGTTTTTATTATATATATAACGAGACTTTCGTTCCTCGCTCGCTCGTTGTATGATACAAACAACTCGTGAATAAAATTCCCGCGTACGCCGCACTTTCCATGAAATAAACTATATATATATTCTTCACATACCTAAGACCAGGATATAACTTACGACTGTTAGCATCWTGAGTTCTGAAAGAAAAGAAACGCATTCATCACTTCTGTCCTAGCTGAGTTTTTTAAATATTAAAATAAATATAGAGAGTGAAGATCCCAGTGCAAATATGATGAAAAACTGGACAAAATCTAGAGTGTTTTTAAACACTTAAAAATCGTTTCACTAAGTATTTCCTTGTACGTCTTACCTTTTGCTCGAAGAACGATGCGTTAATGACTGAAGCAATCTCGACWAGAGGGCTTATGATAACCATACTGTCTTAAGTATTCCATTTTCAATAGAACAATAGAAATGATAAGACTTAAACAAATAAAAGACACGAAAGTAAAAGGACGCGCTTTACGTTGAAACTCCAGCTGATTAAAACTATTTGCATGGCTGAAGTTTCAGTTTAATTGTTTTATATTGAGTCTGCTTGCACGATACAGTCGAGGAACCTTATGATAACTTTAAAGAAAAAATGGAGCAAATTATGTAAATATTCAATACCATTTTTGATTTTTTCTTTACATATTTTTTTTTGAGAATTGAAATCTTGATAGAAAAAAAGCGACATGAAATAACGGTTTCCTAGTTACATTTGGAAAGAAAAGCTCAGTAACAATTTGGTGTCATTTTACCGGGAATATTTTTGAAAACCAAAGTGTGGGATGTAAAAGACATCTTGCGTGCGAATCAAGTTGATAAACTCTCATTTGCAACAATGCAAAAAAGTTATTTATTTTACCCCTTACTGTATAAGACAACGCCTATCAAGAGACTTATCAAGAAAAGACAACGACGATATGGGATGTAATAAGAATTTTGCATATGAATCAAATTATAATAAAAATTCTTCCTTATATTATCAAAATGAGAAAAGATTTTTTTGTTCTACCCCATGGAGCCGGATATTAACAATCCCTCCCATCAAGCCCTGTATCAAAAAAAAGACCACAACTTACTGCAGTTTGATGTTTTTATTGTGTTTTAAAAAGGGTAAGACAGCTAAATCCRTGCCATATTTAAAATATAGCTAACAGTCTGTGGTGTATTAAAAACGTCATTGAAAATACTAATTACTATTGTAAGAAAAGCTAATGCAAAAAGATTGTACTTGTGAAAAGSTATCATGGAAGATAAAGTTGATAAAGTGATAAGCACACGAAATATGATGCAGTTCCATAAATTTTGATAGTTTTCGGATGACATTAAAAACTATAACAACATAATTATATAAGAGGACGTCGGTGGTTAAAAGTTATGAAAATAATATTATAAATATAAGCATTATGATTGATGATAATAGTGAAGACATCATTTTGAATCTGGTCATGATAATGTGATTAAAAAGCTTTGGATATATATTTTTATTCATAAAATAACTTATTGTAAAACTTGCTACAAATTACCTAATAAAAAGTATTATTAAAAGCAATATAATAATAACTAATGAAGATTGAGGTACGTAGAGTTGATATGTTCTTAATCAATCCTAACAATACTTCTTTGTAAACGAATTTCTACGTGTCAGTAAACAGGTCTTTTTAGAATACGATGGGTATCCTGTGGWCGATCGATAAGAGTTGTAAGCAGATGTATAAGGCCAACTTGATCGTCCAGACGGGCTTGTAGACGAAGTGCTCGCTCTTCCGCCGGCAGAATATGGGCGCTCGCTGTTGAATGACGACGATTTTTCAGGACTGGACAGACCCACAAGCTCAGCGCTTGAATCTGTACTCTCATAGCTCTGGTTCTTATTCGAAAAAGGACTATTTTCCTGTAAAGAAGTCGGAGAACTCGTTTCTTGTGGAGTGAAAGACTCTTCTTTTTCATCGTTCCGAGATTCATTTTCCCTTGTGGGACTGCTATGAGTGAATGATTCCTGTGACGTTGCGTGATTTTCTTTGTTRTCAAGTGTTTGCACACAATGAGATGACTGAAGAGGATCTTCTTTTGATAATTCTCCTTCTTTTAGAGTGGTTGCCTCATTTTCCGTTTTTTCACTCTCGTTCTTTGCAGGCGAAGCTTTTTCTCTAGTGACAATGGATGAGTCAACCTCAGATTGGTTTAGCTCCTGATCTACTAATGATGWAGCGTTGTCAAACATTGGCTTGTTTCTATTTCTTCTTAAAGATGCTGTWGTTAGCTTGTAGTTGTTGTTTGTATCTCTAAATCGATCTGGTTGCTAAAATCAAAGAGGAAAAACAAACAACATTAAATTCACTTCAGATATGAGATTTTTGTCAAATTAATGCGGGCAATTCAATCAACTATGCATGTCCTCCTATCCTGTATATTTGCGCATATAAAGTCGTGTTATACGTTTAAACATCATTCACAAATAGAAAAAGATAAAATCGACTTGAACACATACCTCAAAGCTGTAACGATTTTTCAGTCCAGGCGGATTGTCCATTTTACTCGCTTCTAATTCTTTGTGCAACCGKGCAACCATCACTCGTAAGTGTGCTATCAACGCGCTTGAATTTCCGTCCGTTTTACTCAAAATATCCACTTGTAATTTGAGTTCATGATTTTCATGCTGTAAATCTTTTATTGTGTTTTCGGTCAGCATACTTAGTTGATCGTTGTCTTTGTGAGTTGATATTCTTTCAAACTTTGAGTTATGGAGCTCTCCTTGATGCTGTTCGCGACTTTCAGCCARCTTTTTCTTTGCTTCTGTGAATTCATTGTCGTCATAGATTCTTCCATTATTGGTAGTGGGTGTACCTRTTTCATATTCGTTACATTCTGGTGAAGTCTCAGAAACYTTTTGCGAAACGATATAGATAACATCGTTTTTAAGACCTGCCTGTCTCATCAAATTGTCTCTTTCTCTTGATGRTGTCTCTAATTTCGACTCTAACTCCGCAATTTTCTTTCTCAACGAGTATTCTYATGCACTGCTGCCATTTTCTTTGAGGTTTGGATCGTTTTCATTATCTTGTYGAGAAGRGTGACTGARTTTGTTCTTTTTATTGCCTAGTACATTGGTTTCTGAAGTACTATGGTTCGCTTCGTCAGTGCAGTGATTCTTCCCATCAACATGATCAATGGATACGGCTGTMTCTGATGTCTCTGTGTCTTCCRTGTGTTCTTCGTAACTTGCATTMAGATCATCTAACAAAGCCTGCAATGCATGATAGGTACTTTGAAGTCGTTCGCTGGAGACAATGATTTGATTYTAATGGGCATTCCATTCAAAAATGTCTAGTTTATAATTCTGTAACTGTCGACTGAGCTCCATTATTTCGCCTATCACTACATTGTACTGTTTTCCTAGYCGCTCTATGCCAAAGTCTGCCTGATCTTCTTCATCTTGTCTTATTGCTCGAGTACTTTGYCCTTTCTTCGACCTAAGAGCGCACGTTTCGCTTGCTTCCAAATTTTTGTATGCTGAGTCCTGGATTTCCATGAGCGCCTTCTGTGCCTCTAGTCGGGAAAGTTCAACTTTCAATTCATTATTTTCTCTTTTTAGATTGTTTATCTCATTTTGMYGTCTTTCAGGATCATTAGCAAATGCAATTTCATTGTCGCCATTCCATCCTGGTACGATAGTWRTCTTWTCTGAACAAATCCTCTSAAATMTAGACTTTTCCTGCTGTAACTGGTCKARTTTCAAGCGTAAATCATAAATTTCTTTCTGTAAATTACGAATTTTGCTATCCCTTTCTCCTTGCGTTTGTTCAAGAATTTCCTTCTGTGCATTCAAAATGGAAACTTTTGATAKAAGCGATGCAACGTCTGTACTACCTGTATCATGTTGCAAGAAGTTCATAGCTTTTCTTCTTATCTCTTCAATTGGTAAATTGACTGAGTCTTGAGTATTTTTCAAAGCGATTTCCAAGAACMCTATTCTCTCATTCTTCTCGTTAACTTTTCSCTGCATCGTATTTACTTCATTTTGTAGCTTCTCGTACTCTTCTTTGATGCTTTTCAGTTGTGATTTCAAGGTGGCAACGTCTTTGGCATAAGACTCCATCTTCTTGGTACACATGTCTAACTCATTACTTTTGTTAGCCAACTCCTTTTTATAGGAATTACACAAAGTCTTTAGAGAGGAAAGTTCCTTTTTGAGAGTCGTATTATCTTCAAATGRTAGGATTAACTGACTATCTGTTGCTTGCTTATCACCTCTTGTCTTGCTTTGCTCGCAGYTGGCTTTCTGTAACTCCATCTCYGTAGACAATAGCTTTTGACGATGGCTTTTTAACTCGTGTGTTAGTTGGTCTATATGTTCCTCGCTGTGCTTTAGTTTTAAGCTTGCGTCGTTTTCTCTTGACTTCACAATGAACATCTGCCTCTCTGCTTCGTCTCTTTCTTTAGATGTTACATGCAGACTTACTTGTAAGTCTTTGACCTCTTGTCTTAGTCTTTGAGCATCTTCTTCCATTTTCGCTTTCTCTGGCCACGGATCGAGCCGTTCAGTCTTATGAGTTAGAGACTCGTTTGGTGTTGGTATTTGTAGCTGGTTTGTCAATATATAGAGTTCGTGCTCCTTTACATTAAGCTGYGTTTCCAATTGTATTTTGCTCTGTCTCGCTGTTACAAGCTCCTCCTCAAGAAAACGGRTCTTACTTATCATTTTCTGCATCTCCACGTCAAATTCCTCCAATTTGGTTGAAGRTGCTTTGTGTTCTTCCTGGAAAGATGATATTTTTCCTTCTAATTCATTTTTCACAGAGCTAGTTGTGTTATAAAGGTTCTGCCACTTAGACAACTCGGCGTTTGAAGCAGCAAGCTCATCCATTAATTCATTTTGCTTTTCTTGCAAGTTTTCATAGTCTTGCTCTAATTCAAGTATCTTACTCTTGGACGCTACATCTTTCTCGATCAAAGCCTTCTCAATTGGAGTACTTTTAGACATTGCAATCCTTTCCTTGTCTTTTAAAGTCTTTATCTCTTGTCCTATGTCATTTTTCTGCTTTAACAACAATGCACATTTATCCTCGAGTTTCTTTGTGGTTTGTTTTGAAATCTCCAACTCGTTTTCCAACAACATGATGCGATGTTTTAGATCTTGCGTGGTCTGCTTTTTTCTTGAAACTTCAAGAGCAAGTTGTTCAGCTTTTTGCTGTATCTCAACAGCTCTGTCCTCACTGTAAGTATTGACGATATCGCAGTTCCCGGAAGCGTCTTTCAAACATTGAATGGTAACATTAAGATGACAATTCTCATTATGAAGATCAGCAATTTTTTGCTCCATTGTGGAGATTTTCAATAAATAGGACTGGCAATCCTCTTGTGCGCTTTTTTGCTCGAATTTACACCTGTTAAGTTGCGCTTCCTTCTCAGATGCATATGATTGCAATGCCAACAATTCATCCTGCAGCAAAGCCAGCTCTGTTCTCCTTTTCTCATCTTCAATACTCTTTTCTTTAAAAAGCAAGCTTAGTTTCTCGTTCTGGTCTTCAAGAATTCGCTTGCTCTCCTTCATCTGTTCCAATTCAATGTCTCTGTCTTTAAATTCTTTGTCTACTAGTTCAGTAGTCAGTAGTTTGTCTGCGTTGTCCTGCTTCAACTTATGAACCTCTGTTCGTACTTCATTCAMTTTCTTCAACGACTCTTTTAACTGACTCTCAAGAGTATTTCGTTGTTTCATTTCAAAGTCATACCTGACTTCTAAATCAGATATTGCTATCTTTGCTTTCGTAAGCTCTTCTTTGAGTTCGTTCTTTTCACTCTCCAGCTTTTCATGAATAATTTCCATGCGCTCAGATTTCAGTTTCATTGCCTTTGTTTCTTCAGAGATTTCATGGTTTTTCTGTTGAGCGGATCTAAGTTGTAATTCCTTTGCAGACAGCTTTTTCCTTAGTTCTTTTTGTTTTTGTTTAGTTGATTTTTCTCTCTCAATTGCCTGCTTTTCCAACTTTTCGGCCTCAAWGACTCTCATTTCCAGTCCACTTTCGTCTTGTTCAAATTCACTGGTTAAACTTGTCTCAAGTGTTTCGCTTATAATGGATGCTTCTATGGTTCTTTCAAGGTCTTCCACTCGACTTTCACCTTCTTGGATGTTTCGCCTCAGAGCCTCAATATCGGCCTTCAGTATTAGATTTTCAGTTTCTATTGAGTTCTTGTCATCTGTAATCTTTTCAATTACGCTTTCCTTTTCTTTCATTTCCTCAGAGGTATTTTCAAGATTTCTTTGGGTTTCTCGAAGCTTGTTTTGATTTTTCAAGAGCTCTTGTTTTGCTTCTCGAGTAGCYTTTTGAGCGTTTTCGAGCTCTTTTGTGAAACGAATCCTCTCACTCTTCAAGCTGTTGAGTTGGTTTTCAGCAGTATTCAGCTTCAAGTTTTGAATACTGAGTTCTTGTTCTAATAGTAACTTGTTTTCTCTTGTTTTGAAAAAGTCAGCTTCAACGCTTTGGATCTTTTGTTGATAAGCCGAACAACGTTTTTCATAGCCAATTTTCTCTGTTTTTAATCCTTCTGAAATTACTTGCAGTGATRTCAGTTCTTGACGAAGTTTAATCACCTCTGCGTCATAACTATGTATGTTTTGTCGRTGTTCGTTMATCACGTGATCGTTTTTACTAATCACGTGGTTTAGTGCGTCGTTGCTCTTCTTTTGRTCATTGATTTTACTCTGAAGCCTCATTATTTCCTCTTGTTGAGACAGATTCTTTTCGTTTGTGGCATCAAGTTTTTTCTTGATTTCGTTTCTTTGTTTGTTCAAAGTRTCGGATGTAGATTCAAGTTTCATTATTTTCATGTTCGCTTCATTCAAAGCACCGTCTCTATCCTCACTTAGTTTGTTTGCTATTGATAAATCTTTCTCCAAATCGCTAACTTTGCTTTCAAGTAAAAATATTTTCATGGTTTCTTGATTTTTCTCGTCTAGTGATTTCTCAAGGTTTAGTGTAAGATCAGRTATCTTTTCATTTGCACATTCAAGATCTTCAGTAAAAACTATCACATCCTTCATCGATGAATCTGTCTGGGACTGTAACATC